TACTAGGACAGTGTGGTCTGCTGCAACCATAGTTCACTACTCAAGCTTTCTCTCTTTTCCAGGTGCCTATGAGGCCCATCTTGTGCCTTTATAATAAGGAGCTACCAGATATAACTTTTTCTGTCTCTAGAACCATACTTAAATAAGACTTTTGTCTCAGGTACTCTGTCACAGGACCACAAAACACAGTTTTGACAAATCTCAGCTCATGAAAATAGTATTTTCTAAAAATTGCTAAAACCTCTGCATCTGGGCAAGATGGAATAAAGAGTTCAGATGTTCTATATCTCCCATCTTAAACTTAAAAAACAAGAAACAACATAAAGTAAGTTTTCAAGTACTACAATCATGACAATTAAATTCTATCCTAGAAATGGAACTTTATGATCATAACAGCTTCCTACACAGAGGTAGTTTCTAAGCCACTATCCCAGGGAGAACCTAGACAGAACCTACTTAAGGAGACAGCCAATCTCAGTTTTAAAAAATTAAACATATTGGACAAAAGCACACTAGAACAAAGAAACCAGGTAAGATAGAGTGGTGATTTACAGGTCTCCTTAGCTGCTGATCTACCCAGTGATAAGAGGAAACATCACCTTAGACTAAAAAAGTACATTGGAAACAACTCTACAAAGTGCACACCAGTTAGAACAGTTCAAGTTTCTAATAAGCAGGAATGAAAACCATAAATCACCACACATCAGAAAGGTTTGCCAGGCTTCTTATGTTCTATATCTCCTATCTTAAACTTAAAAAACCAGAAACAACATAAAGCAATCAGCAATCAGCTAAATGCCATAAGGAAAGAGAAGTAGAAAGCAGGAGAGATGACCAAGAGTCCTGGGAGATCTGTTACTTTTTATCTTGTATTTATATTTCCCACCCCGTTCCACAATTCCAAAGAAATAATCCTCTTAGAAAAGTTTAAGTTTTTTTCAAGTCAGATTTACCTTAAATCCTACAAAATTCACAAAAATACTATAACTCTCACCATTAACAAAATTTAAATGTCATACTCTTTCAAAATACCAGATACACTGTGGTTCTCAACCTTCCTAATGCTGTGACCCTTTAATACAGTTCCTCATATTGTAATAACCTCCAACCATAAAATTATTTCCGTTACTACTTTCCTAACTGTAATTTTGTTACTGTTATGAATTGTAATGTAAATATCTGATCCTGTAAATATCCAGGATCTCTTATATGTGACCCCTGAAGGGGTCAACCCAAACGTTGAGAGTCACTGACCCTCTAAAAAGGCACTTACTTCACATTTTCATGAAACCCCAATTATACATCAGTGTAATAGAGTGGCATTCTTCTGTGATTAAGCACACATTAAACTTACCAAAATCACAGTTGACTTGAACTAAGGATTCCAAGTTGAATAGCTGTTGCCTGATTTAAAAAAATGTGAGAGTAAATTTTAGCACAATGTAAAGTGTATACCAATTACATGGGTTAGGTTTCTAACACTACAGGATAGCTCCATTATTTTATAATTCACTTTGTAAATGTTTATTAAAAGCTTCCATGACAAGTTTCTTCTTTTGTTTGTTTTTGTTTGGTTTGGTTTTTCCGTTTAAATTTGGTTTTGTTTGGGGGGGTTGCAAGGGCAGAGGGAAGATCTGATGGAACAGGGAGATAAGCGGGATGGGAATGCACGATACGAAAACCACAAAGAAGCAAAAAAAAGTCAGCTTCAGACACCGCAAATTTTTTAAGATAAAGTACATCTCTCTAAACTTACAAAAGTATCTTTAGACAAATGATCTCAGAAACTATTTCAAAATCACAGCCTTTGGTAACAATGAGATATTTCTATCTTCAGGAAATTTAAGATACAACAAACATTTTTAAGGTTAAGTTTTATGTTAAACTGTATCATACTGCTATATAGTAGTTCAGAAAATAAAAAGAATTACTGCCCTGATTAGTTCCTAGTCAAGTTGATACAAGTTAGTCATCTAGGAAGAACTTCATTTGAGAAAATGCCTCAACCAGATTGCCTGTAGGGAAAGGCATTTTCTTTTTTTTTCTTTTTTTTTTTTTTTTGGTTTTTCCAGACAGGGTTCCTCTGTGGCTTTGGAGGCTGTCCTGGAACTAGCTCTTGTAGACCAGTCTAGCCTCGAATTCAGAGATCTGCCTGCCTCTGCTCCCCGAGTGCTGGGATTAAAGGCATGCGCCACCAATGCCCGGCTTACGGCATTTTCTTAATTCATGGTTGATGATGATATGGGAGGCCCAGCTCACCGGGGATGGTGGTATAAGAAACCAGGCTGAGCAAGCCATGGGAACAAGGCAGAACACAACATTCCTTTGTGGTCTTTGCTTCATCCTATATCCAGACTCCTACCATGCCTTTCTGTGATGATGGACTGCAACCTGTAAGCTAAGTTAACTCTTTTCTTGCCAAGTTGCTTTTTGTCATGGTCTTTAATCACAGCAGTAGAAAAGTAAACTAAAACAGTTATATAAATGAAAATTATACATATAAAGCCATAGATTGCCTCATTTTAATTCCTACTTGCCTCCAAATTCTATTGGAGAGACTCATTCATTGTAGGAGAAACTGTGGCCAGCCTACCCAAGGAGCAGTCACCCTGTCACAGGTGCTCGGGCCAGCACACACGGCTGTAGGGACACCTGACCCACAGACGCCAATAGGACCTTGGGAGGGGGTATAAAGGCAGGCCTAAGTCTGCAGCAGCCTGTGCTACTCAATGACTCCTGGTGCCTGAGTCATTGGTACTGCATCTTATCTTCTCACCCCCTCCCGCAAGAGGTGTCTAAAGAAGGGTAACCAGCAACAACTCTTGACAGGCCAGGGTGGCAGACACCTTTAACCCCAGCAATCAGGAGGCAGAGATACTCACAGGTGCATCTCTGTGAGTTCCAGGCCAACATAGTCTACAGAGCAAGGTCCAAGACAGTCAAACACAGAAACCCTGTCTCCAAAAACCAACCAAAACAAACCAAACAATAACAAAACCCATTCACTATAATGTTCACAATTATAGAAAATTCACTCCCCTTCTTCTCTCACGCTAGAGAGATGACCTCTGTGAGCACCACGCATGCATGTATACATTCATACAATCACACATTCGTTAATGTGTGATTGTATGAATGTACAATCACTTAAAAGGAAGAACTTAAAATACAGAATACATCAAAGATACACTGGCATCTCTTTATGAGGGCTCACAGAATGTAGTTTAAATCTTTAAATACTTGTCTTCGAAACAAGGTGTCACAAAACCAAGGCCAGGCATGACGGTACACACCTAAAATTTCAGCACTCATTAGGCTGAGCCAGGAGCATTGCTGTAAGTTTCAGAACAACCTGCACTACACAATGAATACAACTGAGACTCTGTCTTAAGAACAAAAACAATGCATATACAATGTTATGTATAGAATATTATACACACACGTAAATATTTATTCAATGCAAATATAGCTCAGTGGTGCGATGCTTGCCTAACATTTACAATAGCCTGTGTTTTATCTCTAGCATTGCACACACAGTAATAAGGACTCTGAAAAGCAATATAAACAACTCCTTAAAACCGTTATGTGGATAATGGTAAGACGAACAAAACAAAAGCAATTCCCGATGCTTTTGTAATCAGTATTGGGAAACACCCAGCAATGTAAAACTAGACAGCATCTAGAATCTGGGGTTAAAAGCAGACATACATGTACCTGAATAAATGAAAGAGCTCTCGACATGAAGTTGCTAATGCTGTTTCGGTAACCCACTGGATGCCAAATAGTTCTACTGTATCCTCTTCAAAGTTAGTTGGTAATGGATCAAGATTTAAAATCAACCTGTAATGAGAATGGCGACTTAAACATTTGAATCCAGGCTATACGAGGCATATATAAGTCAGGAAATGCTTGGGTATCTACACCTTATATTGCATAAAATAATGGCAATGTGGCTCAAAAGCCTAAAAGGATTCTAGGCAATACACACGGTCATAGTATTTTATCTTTGAACAACTGATGGGTTTTTAAATCACCAAATATTCTGAATTATGCCTGAGGGATAACATTATGAAGTTATGTAATGTGCTTTTAAGGTTGTTAAGTGGGTATAACCACAAAACCAGCAAAAAAAAAAAAATGGTTTCCTCCATTAATAAAAATAATTCAAGAAAAGCCATTTTACTGCAATTTACTGCAAACTCAACCAAAGTTAAGTCTATGACTCTGTATGCACAGACAACTTAGGGCTGGAAAGCACCCAGAGCAACAAAAACCCAGTTGCGTCCTTACTTACAAACTACTGAAAACTTGTAGACTGGTACTGTCCTTAAGAAGAAACACCAACTCCAATAGCCTAGGCTGCTGCTCAGAAAGCAAGAGATTATCAATGACCAAGAAAAGACTCAAAACCCAGGCAAGGCAGACACACTGCCTGGAACCTTCTAGGTACTATACATACCAAACAAGATTTGGTGGGCACCAAAGTTCAGACTTCAGTACCAATTAAGCAAACATAAACAAACACTGATGGGGAGCCCTCGA